AGCAACTACAAAGATTAAAGAAGTTTATTTAGCATACGAATATTCAATCCGATCACCCTTATACTAACGCAATGTGCTTACTACAATCGTCAGACTTTTCGACCCTATAAGTATACTCGGACTTACTGTGTTATGGGCAAAAGCCTTTATACAATGACTATGGCATTAGGGCCTTGAATCGGACAGTCATCTACCAGAGGAGTTAGACAAGTTATGTAATCAATTTATAACAAAATTGTCATCCATCAATAAAATAGTGTTACCTCGACATATTGGCGTGCGAGTATATTCAAAAATAGAATTAGTAGGATTCTTCGACGCTTCATTACGAGGTTACATGGCCGTTGTTTATTTGCGGGTAGTAGACAGCTCTGGTCATGCTACGATAAATTTTGTCACCTATAAGAACAAGATAGCGCCAATCAAAACACATAAATTTCAAAATATGGTGCCTTGCCTTGGACTATATGCTGCTTTATTATTCGCTACAACGTTAAACCGCGTAAAAAACCATTTAGACATTGATAATTCATGGATCCATGCGAAGATTGATTCTACGGCATATTATCATGCTTAAAAAGAATTATGTCACTAGATTCACTCACCCAGCTAGCGCCGTTTATTGACAAGACTGGCTAAATACTTTTCAGCAGTAGCCTTCGCTATGCGTCGTTAAGTTCGGATGCGAAACATCTGATACTGATATTTAATGTTTCGCTTATTAATTAAATTTTTTACTTGAGTTTTAAGGCTTATCGTCAACTCATGCACACGGAAACTCTAATTTATGTTGCAAAGATTAAAACAGCATCTAAAACAAGTTATTGGAATTCAAGTGATAACATATGAAGAGATGGAAACGTTAATAATTTGCGTTGAAGGAATTCTCAATTCTAACACAAACTACAGCAGATTTTCATGATCTAATTAACCCCCGGCCATTTATTAATAGGCCAGCCTATTCTCTCCTTACCTGAAACTGACTTTAGTGCAATACCCATGAAATATTTAACACGCTGGCATTAGCTGAAATATCAGCTAATTTTAATTTAATAAATTTTTAAAATTTTTAAAATTTTAAATTTTAAAAAATTCGATAGCTTTTCAGTTAAAAATAATATTGACTTAGTTAAACAATTATCTAGTTATACCATTCAAAATAATGAC